TGAGGGGATTGCATGCATGTGGTGTACAGATGATATGCATGCTGACAAAATACCCATACATGTACAATAAAAATATAGGAAACTTTTTTTTTTTAAAAAAAGAAAAAACATTTAGTCACTGACTTTTAAAATAATGGCTTTCCAGGCTGGCTGTGGTGAGCCAAGCATTTAATTTTAGCACTCATGAGACAGAAGAAGGCAGATTTCTTTGAGTGATCAGGCTAGCCTGATCTATATAGAGAGTTTCAGGTTAGCCAGGGAAACATATTGAGACCCTGTCTCTGAAAAGAAAAAGAAGAAAATGCTTCCTGGAGCTGCTAAGGCAGCTCAGCAGTTAACAGTGTTTACTCCTCTTGCAAAGGACTCATGCCGGTTTCCCAGGATTCTTGTCAGGCAGCTCACAGCCACCTACTCCAAAGGATATAGGGATGTGATGCTTCTGGCCTCCAAGGGCACCTGCACTTACATGCACATATCCATACATATATATATATATAATGAAAAGTAAAATAAATCTTTGCAAAGGTCATGGTTTCCCTTCCATTCTCTCCATTGAGGGCTGGATAAAATGTGCCACACTTTTATTTTATGTGACATATCCCTTAATCTCTTTTTCATATTTTCATCTTCATGTCTTTCTGTCTGAATAGTCTCAGACAAATATTAAAATTAGCTATCCATCTCTTCAGACTTATTTAATATGCCAATAAACTCTTTTGACTACCTTTTGTTGTTGTTGTTTTGCTTTTTCTTTTTTTTGAGACATGTTCTCATGTAACCTGGGCTGATCATGAACTCCTGATTCTCCTGCTTTCGTTTCTCCCAGGTTAGATTTACAGGTGTGAACCACCACACCCACTAAGTTTTATTTCAATACATTTTGTCTACATTACATTTAGTAGTGTGTGTGTGTGTGTGTGTGTGTGTGTGTGTGTGTGTGTGTGTGTGTGTGTGTGCATTCATGTGGAGGTCAGGGGCTACATGGAGGAGTTAGTTCTCTCCTTCCATCATGTACGTTCTGGGGATCAAACGCAGGTTGTCAGCCTTGATGTCAAGGTCTTGACATGCTGAGATATTGCACCAGTCCTATTTTTATTTATAAAAGTTTATTTTGGGGCTGGAGAGATGGCTCAGAGGTTAAGAGCACTAGCTGCTCTTCCAGAGGTCCTGAGTTCAATTCCCAGCAACCACATGGTGGCTCACAACCATCTGTCATGAGATCTGGTGCCCTCTTTTGGTGTGTAGGCAAATATGCAGATGGAACACTGTATATGCAATAAAAATAAGTAAATAAAAATTTAAAAAAGCTTATTTTGCTTCTTTTCCAATTTGATTGTTATCATGGTCTTTACAGTTGCTTGTTTATTATTGACTTCTGTCCTTCTAAGCATTCCATCATTACTTTGAATCCAACAATTCCAATACCTTAAGGCTTTGCGGGTTTGAATCTATTGTATCTTAAATTGCCTGACTCTCATTCATGGTGATTTGTTTTCTTGTTTATTGACCTTTTGTTGTTGTTGTTAGTTCTTCTTGCTGCCTGAGCTAGGGCTTCACTGTGTAGCCCAGGCTGGCCTGAAACTCGTGACCCATCTTCATCAACATCCCAGGCGCTGAGATTACAGGCATGTATCACCACATCTGTTAACCCATCTTTGATTGGTTTTAATATAAGAAATGTTAAAGTGCTTTTTTCCTCAGGAGATTAGCAGTTTCATCTGTAAGTGTCTTGTGTGCTATCACCAGGGAGCCCTGTTCTAGGACATCAACTTAATCTAAGAGTTTCAACCTCAACTCTTCCCTCCTCACCAATGGGCTAAGCATAGTTTTCCAATACAATTCTAATGCAAAATATGCAGGTATTTCCATATTTTATTAGTACTAAAGCACTCTGGACTTGCCATACTTGAAATTTTTGTTTTGTTTCTGGTTCTCTGGAAATTTCTCCTGGAAATATAGTGTACACAGGCAGGATCAAGTTTTTCTGAAACAGGAAGACCTTTCAAATACCAGACTCAAGTGTGTCTCAACTGTGTCAAGTCATGACTCACCTACTGCAGACTGGGTTTACCTCCTGCCCATGACTGAAACACCTTATGCCAAGTTGATCAATGGCCCCCTGTTGCCAAATTTAATGTGTTGGTTTTTTTCTTCTGTGATTCTTTTTTTCTTCTTTCCTGGGAATTGAACCTAGGGACTCATACATGCTAGGCAAGTACCTTATCACAGAGCTACATGTCAATCCATAATCTTTATTTTGAGTTCCTTTTCATACATGAAGCCCTCTGAAGTTCCTGGCTGTTCTATCAATCAGCACACCTCACACCTTTGGCTTCTTTGTGACAGCATATCCCCACTATGTCCTCTGCTGGCCTTGACCTTGAGGTCCTGCCGTTTCAGCTTTCCAAGTGCTGAGGTTCTAGGCTGCAGTATCTATCACACCTGTTCCACCATTCCTGAAAGACCCTTCTTTGACTGCATGATGGCCTTTTCACTTATATTTCATCCTATCGTTCCTGACATGCCTTTTTAGTCTTATCCTTTCAACCCAGCTTCACAAAACATGATTATCTGTGGCCCCAGAGGCCTATCTTGAGCTTTCCTCACTTTCTATTCTACACAGTCTCCTAAAATAATGCTGTCCACTCCAGTGGCTCAGTATCCTGAATTCCCTGTGTGCATTGCCCTCCAAGACTTTTGTACACGCTTCTCCCACTTGGAATGTGTCCTCCTATCCCTTTAACCCCTGATGTATGTTCTTTGAGTATTTTTATATTGTATCTATTTCTATTATTTCACTTACACACTGTATTATAATATTCTGTTCACTTACTGTCTTCCTCTGTAAGATTTTTTTTCTGGATAGAAGTATCTGGGATATAGTCAGCAGTAAACAAATGAATAGTTGTTTAGTAATTAAGAGAACATATGACTGACTGAATGAACGAATGAATGTGATGGTTTGGGAATGGATGATTTGCAATTTGGAAGGAAAGTGAAAGAAGGTAAGAGGCAAAGGAAATAACTTGTACATGTCGGTTATTCATTTGTTCAGTTTGCATATGTGGAGATAAAGTTATTTCATTTCATCAAAAGTTTATTGAGCATCCAGGGTGTGCTACGCACTCTGCCAGATGCTAGTAATACAAAGATGAAGATCAAAACAAAGCAAAACAAAAATAAAAACAAACAAAAAACTTCCTTACTTACCCCCCGATTTAAGGCAAATTTGGCTTGAGTCTGGAAAGCCAGCCCTGCCGGGATACAGCACCAGGGTATGGCATGTTCTCATCTCACCCTATCCTTCACTCCTGTATCTCAAAGCTGACCCAGGTAGTCCTTCTCCAAGTCTTACATCTCCTAATCTGCCTGCACTATCACCTACGTGCACTATTTTATGGTGGATGAGGCAGCTGGGAAGGTTAGTGGACTGTGGGTTCTGTACACAAGGAGAGCTGCAGATGAGCCTGTGCACGAGCAGGGAGAAGACCATCAGGATGGAGAGCTGAGAGACACACTGGTGGGGTGAGGGCGTGCAGGCAAGCCAGAAACTGGTGCCTGCAGAGCTGGGGCAAAGTGTGTTCTGGTACAGAGGTGATGGATATGGGACCTTGGGAGTCGCTCATGGGATGATGCAGAGGCAGAGCTGAAGTTTAGGCATTGAGGAGGGACAAGGGACACAAGGTCCCTGGGGGCGTTAGGTAAGTGAGGGCAGAACAACCAGGACCTCCCTATCTTTCAGCTATTTGTGTGCTTTCTGTCTTTACACAGTAGGTTATTTCCTTTTATTTTTTTTTTTTCAAAATGCCCAAAGAGGTGGTGGCCAGGGAGTGGTCCAGCCCCTTAGTCTTCTGATGGTACAGATTACAGAACTGGCTCCACAGCTCTGTCTGGGTTCTGAGCATCTAGGATCAGGGGAGATGGGAAGCAGAAGAATGGGAGTGGGCCATGGCACCCTGACATTCTGGGGAGCACTAAGCTTCTTCTTTCCATGCTTCTTTGGAGAGCAGAATCTTATTTCCTTACAGCTCCAGGAAGCCCCACAACCGTCCTGGGGATGATTGAAAAGCTTGTTTTATAAGAAAGCCAGAAGAGTGTGAATAGTTAACATCAGGTCCTTGCCAGATGCAGCCCTCTGGGTCAGTATGCCAGTCTCTATAGCAGCAGTCCTCAACCTTCCTATTTAATACAGTTCCTCATGTTGTGCTGAGCCCCAACCTTACAATTATTTTATTGCTACATCATACCTGCAATTTTGCTACTGTTATGAATTGTAATGTCAATATCTGCCATGTGACACCCTCCCCAAAGGGGTTATGACCCTTAGGTTGAGAACCACTGATCTATAGATACAAGCCCTTGTTCACCTTCTCGTGAACAAAGACAGGAAGAAAGATTGGTATGGCACACTTCTGAGGAAGCCATTGGAAGCCACCAAGCACTGGAGGACTGATATTGTCCTTGCCTAGCCCCACCTTCCCAGGGTCCTAGGAACATGGGGTTCACCTCACAATCTGGAGGGACAGGGAACCAGGTGTCCAGAAAAGGTCCTCTAAGACAATAACTCATTTATGGCGAGAACAGGCCCTGTGCACCCAAGGAGCCAGCATCAGACTTGTCTTTAGTTAAGGACAGTAGTTTGATCTGTGGGTAAGTGGACCCTAATTTGGGCTGTGGGGAAGGGAGAGTACTGCAGACATTAGGGATTGGAGGCATGAGGGTTGGGAGGTGGTGGGAAACATAAATGCTCCCAGGTGGTGCATAGGATGGTCTCACTGGGTAAAATTACAGATGTTAGTTTCCATAAAGCCCTTTAGAGGATTGGGCCGGACATTTAATAATCTATTTAGTCCTAAGAGGGCACAGCTCATACCCACTGAGAACACAGCCAGTAAACCCAGCACACATGCAACAGGGTTTAACACGGAGATCAGCGCTCCACCCATTTGTGCATTTCACACACGTGTGCACCCTAAACGGGGATTAGGCCACAATCTCCAGGCCAGCGGCACACGGACTTCTCAGCCTCCCCCTCCCCTGCTGCGGACAGCAGCAGAACTTGGGCAACCGGAGCGGGCTCCCAAGGCAACTTAGGCACTGATCTCCACCTGCCCAGCCTCGTCTTGCTCGCGGATTTTGTGCACGCCTGCAGTCCTCAGTGTGTGCGAGGCGCTGCGTGAGCGGCTGGGCGAGCTCGGGGCCCGCGGCGGTGACGTGTGCGTCCGGCCGGTGGCTGGGGATAGCGCTGGGGAGCGCGGGTAGCGGCGGGCTGAGCGGATCGGCAGTCCTGGAGAGCGGCCGGGCACAGGTGGTGACACCGAGTAGCCGGGCGGGCCAGGCTCTGTGGTGCTCCGAGGCTCTGTAGCGGGGTTCTCATCCGACTCTGGGGAGTCCTGCAAACAAACGCTGCAAGGATCAGCTGTCCCCAGATCCTATCTGGGAGCGCGTTTTGTTTTAGGTACTGGGACTACGGGCAGGGGAGGGGGGCGGGGCTCATAGTTTTCAACCACACCTTCACGTCAGACTTGGTGGCAGACACAACACATAGTATGGTCCAGGCAAATGACAAGTATTCAGTAAATGTTAGCAAGAATAAGTGTTTCGTCACTTTATCCTCTTTCAGACATTGGCAAATGGGGCTATTGCATTGCATGTGAGCAGAGAACAGAGGAAGGGCTCTGAGGCCCACAAGTAGGTCTTGTGACAGGAAATAGCCTGGGCTGGGGTAGTGCATGAGATTTGGAACGCATCGAGTCAGGTTTGCATATTGGAAAGGCCAGGTCTGCCACTCATTTGCTTGTTTAGCCCTTCACAGATTGGTTTTTTTGTTTGTTTTGTTTTTTGTTTTTTTCCCTCTGTGTCTCTTTTTTAAATCTCTAAAGTGGGGAATGACACAAAGATTTCTGCAAATCATGCAAAGGGATGGCCACATCATTGTCCCCCTACTGTTCCATGGGGACTCCTTGACAGAGTGGCTCACCTTGTCCTTTAGGATATAGAGTGCCAATGGGTTCTTTCGTTCCTGTTCTCCACTTCGCGGTAAGGTGTCTGCTGCATGGGGAAATAACAGAGTATCTGGTCCAGGAACAAATCTTATATCCCACCCGGCACCCATATGCTTTGACTGCGCCCCGCCTTGCTCTTCTGACGTCCTCATAACCTATTCTTCCTTTTCCCAGCAGCCCCTCTGATCAGAGTGCTGATGGGCGGGGCCGGTGGATGGCTGAGAGCTCACCTTCTGATTTTAGGCGGTCCTCATTCTGATCCATGTATTCCAAAGAGTTTTGTTTCTCCAACTTCCTCTTCTTCCTGCAAATCAATCCGACCCCCCACCAAGAACAGAGCTATTGATTGTGAACAGAAAATCTAAGGAATGACACAAGAAGGGTTCTAATGACCAAGAAGATGGGAAGATGGGCTGGGAATGGTCCAGGAACTTTAGAATGAGTCCCATCTAGGTTTGCATGCTAAGACTGCTGTTAGTATTGTGACTTGTAGGTAGGCCATTTATCCAAAGTGAGTTTCAATATCTTTTTCTGTACTCTGCAGGTGCTATGACTTAAAAGGTAGCACACCAATCCAGCTAGACTGTTTAACCCAAAGGAGACACCACCATCAACAGTTCCAGACAGTCAGACATAACTGAGCACAGATACAGTTCCATATACTATGGGAAAATACACCTGGAAAGAGGTCCATTCTAGCAGGAAAAACTCAAAGCGTTGGGAGCTAGGGTGGAAGGCTAGCCTTATGAGCATGAGGAACTGAGTTCAAGTCTAAGAATCCACATGAAAAAGATGAGTGTAGCAGCACACAATTGTCATCCCGGCACTGGGAAAAGTGGAAATAGGCAGATCCCTGAGGCTCAGTGTCCAGCCAGTGTAATCTAGTTCATATAATCCAGTCTAATGAAGACCCTGCCTCACAAAAACAAAGCAACCACAAACTAAAGTGCATGGCCTCTGAAAAATAACACTGGAGGTCTACCTCTGGCATCCACAAACATGGGCATCCACACACACATGCCCTGACACCAGCACATATCCATACTCACACCTGTATAAGCATGTTCATGAACACAACAAACACACACACTAACACAGAGCAGAGCTTTGGAAATAGGGATGTAGCTCAGTAGTAGAGAGCTTGCCTGGTATGCACATGACCCCAGATTCAATGCCAGTAACACAGTCAACCACTCAATATTAAACTTGGGAATGACATAGGCTGAAAGAAGAACTAAGATATGGAAATTGGTGTTACCTAGACTTTTTGGAGGGTTTCCAGCAGGCACAGACTGTCACCAGGGTCACAAGGAGGAAGATGCCTCCTGTAGACAAAATGATATAGAGGGAGCTTCTTCCTAAGCAAAAAGAGGCAGAGAGGTAGAGACAACCTGAGAAGGGGAGCAGGTGTGGTGAGTAGCACTAGCACTAGCAATTGAGGGAATAGAAAAGGCCCCAGTAGCATGGCATGGATAGGCAATGGCAGGGCTTCCCTGGAGCCTCCCTACCAATTGTGGCTGTCCTCCAGGGGCAGTCAGCACATCTCTAACCTGTCTCACTCCCTCTAAACCAGGTTTCTCAACTGTGGGTCTCAACCCATTAGGGGTCAAATGACCATTTCACTGGGGTCATCTGAGACCATCAAAAAGTATGGATATTTTTATTACAATTCATAACAGTAGGAAAATTACAGTTATGAGGTAGCAATGAAAATAGTCTTATGGTTGGGGTCACTACAACATGAGGAACTGCATTAAAGGGTTGCAGCATTAGGAAGGTTGAGAACCATTGCCCTAGACAGTCACTCTGTGGAATGCCTTTAGTCCCAGTGAACACATATCTTGGGTAGGCAGGGAGACTTACTATACACAGTGATCTTGACAGGCAAGCTTCGGACCTGGCTGATAGGATTCTCCACCACACAACTGTACAGGTCATCGTCCTCCATTAGCACTCGGGTGATGGTGAGCACCTTTTGGTCAGGTGACAGGAGCATTCTGGAGTCGTTGAGGAGGGGTTTGCCATCCTTCAGCCAGGTGTAGCTGGGCTTGGTGCCATTCTCGTGAGAGCAGTTGAGGGTGAAGGCCTCACTGAGCTCCAGCACAGTGGTCGAAGCCACTAACACCTGTGGCCTTGAAATGGGCACTGAGCCCCAGAAATGAGAAGGTGAAAATACCTGTGAGTCATAGTCTACAACATGATTCCTCCCCTTCTTTACTTTCCTGTCTTTGAAAATATAGCAGTTCAGACTGTGGGCCAGGAATTCCCTCCAGAGATCCTTAGTTTAGCTCTTTTCCCATAATTTGTCCATTCGTCCATCCATTCATCCATCTGTCCATCTGTCTGTCCATCCATTCATCCATTCATTCATTCTCCATCTGCTCTTTAATCAAGCAACTTGTAGACTGAGCAACACAGCCATGATGAATGTGCTCATTCCTTTCTTCCTAAATACCATTCTAAAACCACTGAGCTTTACTTAAACTGGTCAAGACATTTTAGTTGGGGAAAATCTAGGTCCAACTCTCTAGGTTTAACACTAGGCTCTGTCAGTCATATGAGCTCAGACAAGTTGCTCTTTTCCTTGTCCTCAAAGCAGAGAGAGTGACACCATCTAGCCCCTGATTATTATAAATGTTAAGTGGGCTGTGCTCAGGCACCACCTTCTAATGCCTGTTCAACCCTTTGTGTTCTCTTGGGTCTACCTTAGTCCCAGTCTGGTACTGCCTCCTTCCCTGCTGAGTGCTTTACCATCTACGGTGAGGTTGATGGTCTTCTCCCCTGTGAAGGTATCATCAGTGATGGAGATCTCCACTTCATAGGTTCCCTCATCTGCCAGCTGCAGGTCGCTGAGAAGCAAGGAGCCATTTTCAAAGAGCCGGATACGGTCTCGATAGTCGGGCCGCAGAGTGCCAATGACCTCTGTGCCTATAGACTGCACCACAGTCACTGGCTTGTCACGCTTCAGCTGCCACTTCACCACAGGCTTGTCGCTGCTGGTGCTACTGTATTGCACAGAAAGCAGGGCCGACTTCCCCACCGTGCCATGGATCAGACGTACTGGGCTGGTGATGTTCACCCCCTCCAGGGGGACTGCAAACAGAGGCCCATTGGCAAGAGGGCAGTGTCAGGCCCTTAGCTCCACAGCCCACTTCAAGCTCTCTGACCTTCCTCACACCTTCAGACGCTTAACTTCCTCCAGTCCCGGCTTCTAACCCACCAGCGTCGTCTCCTCTCCCGCAGTTCTTTGCTCCCTCCCCTGTGTCTTTCTTTCCTCATACCCATCCCAAGTCTTCTATGTCTCTGTCACTCTGGCATTTCCCCCATTGTCTACTTCTTGCAGAAGAGTACACCTATCCTACATCATAGAAACATTGATTGAACATCCTATGTGTTAAATCTAATACAGAATCAGGATGGCAGGAAAGGAAGCACGGGAACTTGGGTTCCCAGAAAGGCAAGAGTGTATGTTGAAACAATGCTCAGGAAGAGGACCCTTAGGACCTGAAGACAACACAGGTACTTCCCAGTCACACCAAGAATCCCAAGTCCTTGCCCCGGGTATAACTGTAACTTAACAGGAGGGCTCAGTATAAAACAGTTCGGCAAATGGAGAGGAAGTTTGGGGGGTTCACTAAACTCCAGTGACGTTTGTATTCTCTACAGAGGAAGTGTTTGAATGGGTAGAATTAAGAGTTTGGCCGGGCAGTGGTGGCACATGCCTTTGATCCCAGCACTCGGGAGGCAGAAGCAGGTGGATCTCTGTGAGTTCGAGACCAGCCTGGTCTACAAGAGCTAGTTCTAGGACAGACTCTAAAACCACAGAGAAACTGTCTCGAAAAACCAAAAACAAACAAACAAACAAACAAAAAAGAGTTTGGAATTATAAGGCTTTGCAAGGCTAAGCTCTACCTCTTGTTGCCTGTGTGCGTTTGGAGAAACAGTCTTTCTCAGCACCCATTCTTCTCTTTTATAAAAGAAAAACAGTGACTATAAACCAGGCAGAGGCAAGTGGATCTCAGTGAGTTCAAGGCCAGCTTGCTCTACAAAGTTCCAGGACAGCCAGGACTGTTACACAGAGAAGCCCTGTCTTGAAAAACCAACAAAACAAAACAACAAAAAATCCCAGGCACCAGCCTATAACCCCAGCTCTTTGGAGGTAGAGGCAGGGGGTTCCGAATTTCAAGATCATTCCTGACTACAGTGAGTTGAACTATGAGGCCAGCCTAGGATACATGAGACTGTATCAAAAATAAAATAAAATGCATGTAGAGAGGAGGGCATTCAGGGCTGTGCTTTCCATTTCTTCTTCTACTTGTACAAGACTGTTCAGACCAATCAAGAAATAAGAGAACTAAAACCTTGGTTATGGTAATTAAAGCAAATTTATTTGCTAAACACATTCAATTCATTTTAACAGCAGGTACTTTGTTAAATGTGAGCTCCTCCTTTCTGTAAAAGGTCAAGGAAAAGTCAGTTAACTATTTTTCTGCCTCTCTCAGTTTCTTCCTTTGTGCAATGAAGTAGTTAGTGAGACCAGATGATCTCTAAGCAATTTCCAACTCTCATATTCTATCCTCCATCAGCTGGTATCACTTCAAGAGATGATGCTGCAGAAAAAGCCACTGTAGGTGTGAATATCTGAGTGTTGTTTGCTTATTGGATGGAATTGGTAAGTTGAGGAAGTTAGAACAAAGATAACTATTTGTAAACTTTTTCTTTTGTCTTGTCTTGAGAGTCTTGCTGTGTTGTCCAGGGTGACCTCTACCTCACAATTGTCTTGCCTCAGCCTCCAGAGTACTGGAATGACAGAAGCATGCCAAAACTCCCATCTCATAACTATTTTTATATTAATTTTTGAGATAGCATCTTCTGTATCTTAGGCTGGTCTCAAACTTGCTGTATAGGCAAGAATGACCTTGCATTCCTGGTCTTCCTGCCTCTACCTCCTGAGATTGTGGAGATTGTTGGCATGTGTTGCCACACCCAGTTTTATGCAGTGCTTAGGAGAATCGTCAGGTTTCATGTACACTAGGCAAGCATTTCATCAACTGAGCTATATTGTAACTCCTCAAACATGATTTTTAAAGATTTATTTTTATTCTATGTGTATGAGTGTTTTCCCTGAACGTGTGTGTGTGTGTCTGTGTGTGTGTGTGTGTGTGTGTGTTCACCACTTGCCTGTCTGATACCTAGGGAGGCCAGAAGAAGGTGTCAGGTCCTCTGGAACTAAAGTTACAGGTAGTCTTACCTACCATGTAGGTGCTGGGAATTGAACCTGGGTCTTCTGCAAGAACAAGTGCTCTTAACTGCTAAGCCGTCTAGCCTTACAGATTTATTTATTTCTGTTTTTTATTTGTCTATCTGTATGTGTGTGTCTATGTGAATGTATATTATGCAGGTCTGGGTGACTGTGGAGGCCAGAAGAAGGCATTGAATTCCTTGGTGCTGAAATTATAGGCTGTTGTGAACCACTTTCCTCGAGTGCTGGAAACTGAACTCTGGTCTTTGGGGACATCAAGAAGTGCTCTTAACTTCTGAGCTATCTCTGTAGTGCTTTTCCCCAATTTTTTTTTTTTTCTGAGACAGGGTCCCACTGGTTGGGCTGAAACTTGCTATGTAGACCAGGCTGACCTTGAATTCACCTGCCCCTGCCTCCCAATTGCAGTGATTAAATGCATTTGACATCATTCCTGACCTAATCTGAAACATTTTTTTAGACAAGAATATTTTTGTTTTCCTAAATATCTTACAAAAAAATGGAAATAGATGTAATGTAGTCCTATCTACCTTATTTGTTTTAGTATAAGAGATGGTAGGGCCTGAGTCCACCTCCCCAATAACACAGAGAGCTTCTAGGAATTCCGGTGGCTCTGAGTGTCAAACTGAAATCCAACTGACCACACGAGTTCTTTCAACTTTCAGTTTATGTGACGACTTGAATGGGTTTTCCTGTCTAACGACTACTAGGTCCCATTTCAGCTAGATTTAGAAAAGAACCTTTCAAATTTCCCTGAGTGAGTGAAGGGGCTTTGGAACCATGTGAGGTGGTTCTGGGAAAAATCATGAATTATGCTTAAAGGCCACCATGGTGATGCTCAAATATCGAGGGAGCGTCTACTCACTTCTCAGGTCTGAAACCATAGGATAAACACATGCCTGTTATATGTGTGGAGCCACCCCAGAGGTTAGCAAATATGAGTAAGGAAGGACTAGAGAGAGGCAGCAGTGGTTAAAACCGCTCTTGCAGAGGACCCAAGTTTAGGTCCCAGCACCCATGCCAGGTGGTTCAAACCACCCATAACTCCAGTTCCAGGGAATCTGATGTCCTCTCTGTTCCCTGTGGTGATATATTGTTTAAGATTTATTAAAGCCACTGGAGACTAAAATAGCAAAGCAGCTATACTAGTTAGCCAAGCACTAGAAACCAAGCACACACCTTAAATTCCAGGACTCAGGATTAAGAGGTAGATGGGTCTCTGAATCCAAGACTACCATAGGCTACTGAAGAGTGAATCAGAGCTCACACCTTTACCCCAGGATTTGAGAAGTATAAAAGATAGAGGCATTCAGTATGAGAGTTAGTCTCTAACCACGTTGAGGAGAGCATAACACTCTGAGGTTGGAGCAGTTTGAGGATTGCCCCTTTGGTGTGAACTGAGGTAGAGGTAAGAGCTAGTGGCTGGCTGCTTTGCTTCTCTGATCTCCACCTTGAAGACTGAATCCCAATATCTGTCTCCTGGTCTTTTATTTATCGTGTTACAGACATGCACATACACAAAAATAAAATAAAAATAAATATATTTAAATTTTTGAGGGACTGGAGCAGTTAAGAGCACTGGTTGCTCTTCCAGAAGCCCCGAGTTCAAATCTCAGCACTCACATGGCAGCTTACAACTCTTTGTAACTCCAGTTTCAGGAGACCCAACACCCTCACACAGACATATATGCAGGCAAAACACCAATCAGTGCAAACAAAATAAGCATAACTAACTCTGAATGACTAATTCTGAATGACAGCCCTATTCTGGTTTGGATGTGGTTTGTCCCTCAAGGGTTTGTGTGTTTTAAGCCTTTTCCCCAAGGTGATGGTATTAGGAGAAACAGAAACCTTTGAGAGTATAGTGGTTTAGCTCACTGGGAGTATGATCCTTGGAAAGAATTAAGGTAGTTATTGTGGGACTTTGTGAATTTTACAGAAATTCAATTGTTATAAAAGAATGGGCCTAAGTAACAACCGCCCCTCCCCGCTTCCTGCTTTCTTGTGTGATCTTTTCTTGTATACATTCTTTGTATTGTATTATGGTAGGATGTAGTTAAGGGTCTTCTCCAGGGCTGGTGTTATGTTGTTTGGATTTTCTACCTCCAAAACTTCCTTTCATTATAAACTGTCCAGCCATAGATATTTCATTATAGAAATGGAAAACTGACTAATAGAGATCCCAAGCACCAGACTTTGAGGCCTCTCTTTCCCTTCTAACAGTGATAATCCCAGACCTCAGACAAGTAGAAGGCATTAATTGCCCTGACCTCTCTCTCCATTTTTCTCTCTGTCTTCTCCCCCACCCATTATATTGTCTTCTGATCCATTTCAAGGTTCCAATAGCCCTTTTTGTGATGTTCCCCCCATAATTCTACTTTTTTTTTTTTTTTTTTTTAAATCAATTTAGATTATATTGTGGATAAAAACACTGGAGAAGATACAGCCTTTGACTGCCTCCTAATTTACCCTAGCCCAGGTGGCAGCCTTCCTTATGCTTGTGAACATGGGTATGCCCACAAGCAGATGGGACACACGCACACTCATTGTGAGAGGGTGGCGTCATCTTTCTTGGATCCTGATGGCAAGAACATTTTTGCTAAGCATGAACAGTTGCCTAGAAATTGGAAAGAATCTAAGTTTGGGTTTTCATAACTTTCAGGCGACACAGAGAACTGGGACAGGATCCAGAGCAGGACACACAGATGAGGAAATGGCTAACACCTCAGGTCCAGAGTAGCAATAAAAGGGAGGAGGACTATTCAACCTGGAGAAGCAGTTAACAATCATTGTCTCTGAGGAAATGTTATGTGGAAAGTCTGTTTCCATCATA